ACCTACATTAATTGATTAATTTGTTATAATCCTATGATAATTTGGAATAGCAATTTTACGGCAAAATAAAGAGTATTTTTCACGATTTTAATATTATTTATATTTTAATAACTATTCTGTTGTCTGTGTACGAGATRCTACCGAAAGGTGATTGTCCATTTCTATCATTACATGTCGATCATTTAGGACCATTCGAAAAGACAGAAAACAATAATAAATTTATTTAAGTAATAATTGACGGTTCACGAAATTTGAACGTTATTATCCGTGCAAAACAACCAAGACGGATGAGGTAATTAAATATGTGAAGGAAAATGTTCGTACTTATTTTAAACCGACACGTCTCGTTTCTGATCGTGGAACTGTATTTTACTTTGATCGATTTCAAAAAATTTCTGACTCGCAAGTCTGTCGAACAAATATTAATTGTTACCGGTACACCTGGTCAGATGGAAGTAGTAAATCGTTAAATTACACCGATGATAGTGAAAATAGTGGAGTATTCCGATGAGTGAGACCAAGTACATCCCTACGCGAATTTTTGTAAGGAAATACAATAAAATTAATTATTAATGTTTWGTATTATTTATTTTATTTATTTATTAAAATTATTCGAGTATAAACAACGATCAATAAGTGTACCAAGTTGGTACTACCAACATTACACAATAAATCATAATATATATACCTAAAATGTTTATATTATTACAAAATYTCAGAAGGGGTCCAGGGGCCCTGGATCGTGTATGGAACTCTTAAATCTTCTTCAATTTGAACTTAGAAGTCAGCTTGGTTATGATTGATAAGTATAAAGTAGGTACTTTGTAGATATTTATGTTATTTTGATTCTCTTTTTTATGCAACTAATTTTCTATTCCGATTTAAAAAGTAATTAACGATTATTTGAACGACACATGTTATGAGTGCGATTAAACCGATAAATCGAAAAGCTAATACGCTGCCTAAGTGGCTGAATGTGTAACCAGCTAATGTTGCACCCAAAGAACATCCTGCGAAAGAAATACATGGGATATTAATAAATTATTGTCAATATAATATTATAAGATGATTCGTTTATGTGTCTTCGCTCGTTCATTATTTCAAACAGTTTTTGAAAATATTATTTTTACTTAAAGCATAACKTATGAAAAAAAAATTATGTTTTTAAAAATGTTATCGTTATCATTCTCAAGTTTTTAACACTTTTTTCGGAATGACAACATACTTGTTTAATTTCATTCGTTATAAGTCACAACTTTTCAAAATAATAAATGAAAGATACAGAATCATCGTATAATATACGACGTATATGTATAGGTAATTAGAACTCGAATTCAGTATGAATTATAAAGTGACGAACCAAATCCTTGAAACGCCATCGAAAATAATCCTTGGACTGTTCCTTCACTGCCGACAGGGGCAATCTTCGCAGAATATGATATGCCAGCAATGTAGCTCAATCCAAACGTGATACCATTTAACAACTCAACAGGCAATACCCACAGTGGGTCTCGAATGATCGAGTATAAGAGAAATCGCAATGCGAACATTGCAAATGATATCGAAAAAGCCGTCATATGACCGGTACGCTTGATCAGGTAGCCTGAAATTTAAAACCATGAAAAGAAAACAGTAAGTCCTTTTGGTTTTTTTTTTTACATACTTTGTGTTCATCAATATAAGTATAGATTATAAATATAGATTATAACATATAATTTTCTTTAAAAAATAACTTTTGATTTAAAGAAGTTCAACTACTGAAATATTGCCACTATATTTACAAAAAATTTATAATATTTATTCATTTTTCATTATAATATTAAACTGATGAACGTACTCCACATAATAATTAATTATTATTGGTCGAAATAGCCTATAGGTCTATATAATTGGCG